AACCTCGGGTTCTACAGTAACTTGAGCTCTAGGATTAATGCTATATTAGCCTCGGGCTCTATGGTTAATGCTACAGTAACTTGAGCTCTAGGATTATTGCTACATTAGACTGGGGCTCTATGGTTAATGCTACATTAGCCTCGGGCTCTATGGTTAATGCTACAGTAACCTCAGGCTCTATGGGTGATGCTGCAGTAACCTCGGGCTCTATGGCTAATGCTGCAGTAACCTCGGGCTCTATGGTTAATGCTACAGTACCTTGAGCTCTAGGATTATTGCTACATTAGACTGGGGCTCTATGGTTGATGCTACATTAGCCTCGGGCTCTATGGTTAATGTTACAGTAACCTCGGGCTCTACAGTAACATGAGCTCAAGGATTAATGCTACATTAGCCTCGGGCTCTATGGTTAATGCTACAGTAACTTGAGCTCAAGGAATAATGCTACTTTAGCCTCGGGCTCTATGGTTAATGCTACGGTAACCTCAGGCTCTAGGATTCATGCTACAATAACCTCACTGATTTCGTTAGTTACTAAGCTCAAGGAAACACAATTTTATAACAACTAGCTTTCTCCTCTTCAATTATTATTCAGTCACAAACATTCTGATAGAAAATGTACACCACTGGTTCCTTTTCATGTCAATTTGTCATGTAACAAAAAGCCCATCTAATGGTTACAGAGATTTTATAGTAGCCCGTAACACAATACTCTTACACGCAAAAAAGAAACACTACCCAACCGATGGGCTCTGCAGAACACTAAACTCAGCACGAGAAATTATGAGAGCCCGTTTAATAGCTGCTCATTTTCTCTGTTATTTCCTGGGACGTGCATGTCATTTTATTGAGCTTGTCAAATTGGATGCAGTTTATTGTTTTTTAACATGTGGGATAAGGTTGTTTGGTAAAGAAAGATAAAAGATGGAAAATACATTGTCTAAAAGTAGGAACTTCGGGGACTCCCGGTTGGAGTCCTCAGGCTCGAATTTAGCGAAGGAAATAGAATAGACTGTCTTTTAACAAGCATGCGAGTAAGTGTTTGCTAAAAACTGATATTTTGTGCTGACATGTGTAGATGTCGCAGCCTAGCTGAGATCCACAACATAATGTGCCAGGTACCCTACTAAAAGAGAATACAGAAGAGTAAGCTGAACAAGAGTAGACGGGATATACTGAGGTGAATCGTATAGATAGTTCGTTATCTTTCACCTTGTCCTTTGCAAAACGAAAGTTCACACGGTACCCAAGAGATCCTGGCGTCCTGTTAACCATATCAACGACTGAGTGGCGATTGGCCTTTTCAAGAATAAAGGTTGTTGCGTATCCTTTTCAGGATGTTGCAGAACCAACCCCAACAGCCCCTGGCTGTTGTGTGGTTTCTCGAGGCAAATTTACGTCCAGTAGTTTGCCATTGAACTGGACGGTGGGCTTTTCTAATACCACTGTCGAAACCAAAGCAAGGCGCATGGCCCGCAGCTGGGATTGAACCCGGCATCCCGGCATTACGAAGCGTTCGTATCGACTTAGCCACAGAGCCGACTTTCAAGAATATGTCTAACAATATATGGCCAATGCTCAGAAGGCGTCAATAAGGTCATTTACTTTTACTCACATGTTCATTCAACCCCATTGTTCGAATACAGTCTTGGGTGTTATCAGTCTGTCAATCCAGGTGGGTAACCCAGCAAGAGAGGGAATTATCTAGTTGATTTCCTGTACTGTTTGGTGGCGGGTTTCAACTTGTGTTCCAGTCGCTACCATTTTTTGAAATGGCAAAGTGACCGGCGACAACACACAATAAAACAAATTAGGCTTTCCGATAGGGTAGACGGGAAAAAAAATACATCGACAATATATTTTCTGTGCAGTACGCGACTCCACAGAAGAGCTTTCGGGGTATTTGGGGTTTTAGCCAAGTACGTAAAGCTTGGTAATAGTATTAACATAGATTTAACTAAAACGCTAGCTGCATGCTTACGCCAGTCATGCAGAAACTGTAATGTGGGAGACCTACCGGTTACTAGCACTATTTTGCTAGCTCTTAACAGTGAAGCGATGAGAAGGAAAATATCACGTGATACCCTTTCCAGTGTAGCCGCTACTTGCTGACGCTTAATTTTGTCTAAACCGCGTACACACATGCAAACTTATGGCTCAGGTGGTTAGGTCGTACTTAGAGGATGAAGTATGGTACAGTCCCCAAGGACAGTATCTATATCGGGGAAGATCGTGGGTTCAGGGCCCTCACAAACCCGGACTTTAAACACAGATGATTGGCTCCTATGTCGACCCAGTCTTAAATGTATTTGGTATAATCTTAGGAAGTAAAGGCGACCGGTTTGTTGTTGTTGTTCACATCAGCCACCGAGTATCGATTGGTCTATAATTTATAGGTGTAGAAATATATGTTGAATACGTCTGAAGCTGTGGAAAAGAGACTTTAACCTTACTTATACTTTTAGAATATGTCAATGTCGATCGCTACTGCGAAATACAAATCTGGGATAACGGGACATGAATGATACAGTCACTGATGTAGATTTAAAGGAACATAATGCCATAGATCACGTTGCGGGGGGTGGGAAATTAAGAAGAGAATAGAAATAAATGTTAAACAAAAACTACTGCAGATAGGTTGAGAGCTGAGAGTCTGAGATAGGTTGAGAGCTGAGAGTCTCAGATAAAGCTAACAACAGGTTAGTTGCGTATCCTTTACAGGACGTTACAGAACCAACACCAGCAGCTGTTGTGGGGTTTTCTGTGGGCAAATTTACGTCCAGTAGTTTGCCATTGCTTACTGGACGGTCGGCCACCTGATAAAACCAAACAAAATGCATGCAATTTCAACTATGGGTCTCCAAATGTGGAAGACTGCTGAAAGTATGCAGGTCTTGCTAGTCACTCTCGCCATAGCCATGGTCTGGGATTTCCATGTCTGTCTACAGTAAAATGTAATAATTTAGCATCTAAAGTTAGAAAAGGTAAAGAGGAAGGTAGTCGTGCAGATAGATATGTGGGCAAGTATTGTGTAGATCGGAAGGCGCACCTCAGTATAAGTAATTATGTAAGAATCCACATGGGTAGTTAGATACTTAGGCTAAGATACAGGCATGCAGATAGGTAATTAAGTAGACCAATATCTAACGGTGAGGTTGTATATCGCTAGATAGGTTGCTTAGTAGTCAGGTAAACGTTAGTAGAGGGTTTCCGAAACTAAGAACTAGATGTAATAAAAAGGGGGTGGGGGTGGGGGGGGGGCACTTAGCCCACTGAAAAATGATGTGGGAATGCGAGGACCGAAAAGGCCTAGGTACGGTGTAACTGTGCATTTATTATTATTATGATTATTATGAATGACAAATGCAGATAACCATACACATGAGAGAATCAAATCAATGAGACAGACTCTGTACCAGAAACAAGATGACTACCATATTATGGACAGATGAAAGCAAGTCATTCTACGCCTTAGAACAGCACACAATCGACCTCGCAACCTCATGTATACACAGTTTTTGACTTGCGAATCAGCTGTGTGTACATGTGGATTGGCACCTGTGACAACAGATGCATTCCTCCAAGACTGTCCCAAATACAACATATCAAGTCAAAACATTCGACCAACTTTACGGGTCGCCGGGTGAATTGCCACTGACAGTGAGTTCATACTAGAGACAACATTTCAGTATTAGATAATCTATTTCAGGCGAACGAAAGAATAACTTGAAGTAAGAAAACAATATTCAACTTCTGCACTGTATTGAGTTAGGGAAGGTGGGCATTTAGCGCACTTACAAATGTTCCATGAATTTGCACGGGAGGCTTAATTTGTGTGTGTGAGGGGAGGGGTATGGGGGGAGGGCATGTTGCTCACCAAGCAGCCTAATCCCCCAGGTACCTTCGCCCCTGATACGTAGATGGCTAGACAGGTAAGTAGGTGGGAGGAGTCCAGTAACATTTGTGCCTGTAATCTCAAAACCAATCACCAAGTGGACTTTATTTTTCATGAAAACAGAACGCAACATTTCTGGAATTAATCTGCTGTTCGTGCCTTCATTATTACTTTCTAATATTTATTCACACAAAACTAATCCACGCGCCCAAAAAGAAAAATAACTGCGCACTTGACCAATAAGACATACTACTGCCCACCTTGACAATAACAAACAAACCTGTCTGATTCAATGCTTAAACAACAGCCTGTTTGTTTACCATTGCTAAACACTTTCCGTGAGTCAATAACTAAAGATAATCCGATAGGCTTAAAAAAATCCTTTAGATGGTATTCACTGTTTATATTATCAAACGTGTGCACACTACAAATGTTTGCTTCGGTTTAATTCATTTACGGAGGTCAGTCACCAGGCATGAATGTATTTCTGCGAAAAACCACACAGTTTTGAAGATGTAATCGCAGCGACCAGTGTCGGTTCAGTGTGGTTGGCTTCAGTCAGCGAGCGCCGGTACAGTTCTCACACATGAATCGGCTGCGTCGTCTGGCGAGGATTGAAAGGATGAGCTATGTAGTGTTGTTAGCTGTAGGGGCAGTAACATGATCACTAATCGTAATTAGCAATTATCTAATCATCAGTGGGAAAGCGAACTGTAGATAAGAAATAAAAAAGATACCATGAAAAGATATCACACTAGACTTAAAAATGTAATGGAAGCAAAAGAAAACGTTCAGCTGCATCAAACTATTTAATGCTATTTTATATATATATATATATATATATATATATATATATATATATATATATATATATATATATATATATATATATATATATATATATATATACACACACACATACTTAAGGAAAAAAGTTGAGGAGTAGAGCGCAGACACTGATTGATAGCATTTAGGAATATAATAACAGACGACGGACAGATGTTTGATATAGTGTACACACAGGGTGAGTGTCAGGGATTAAGCAGATTTTTTGCTGCAAGGCTTTTCAGGAAGACATGCTAAATAACATAACTGAGCTTTCTAGTCACATGTTGTTGTTTTTTTTAGCACTTCTTCTTATCAAGTCTTCACTGCGGTCACTCCGTATATGCGTCATCGTAAAGTCGGCCGAAATGAGACTGAGTCGATTAGAAAACGAGTTCTTTGAGTTATCGGAAAGATAAAGACATGAAACTGGCATCATGCAAGGTAATGTGGCTTGTGTCACTTGCTGTGACTCCGATCTGGCGCATATCATAGATTTCCTGCCCAGGACATGCAGGCGTGCGAGGTAACGAGAAGGCTGACACATTAGCTTCTGTCCCTCCTCTGGGCGGTGAGCTACTTTATGCTAAACCGAAGGTGGAGAGGGTTCCCTGGAATAAAATGGACAGTGGAACAAAGCAGAGAATACACGGAAAGGCTAATGCAAGGTGTGATGAGTAGAGGTTCGGAAAGATAGTCAAAACTGAGGGGAAAACAGAGGCAGACTTTGAATCAGGTTGCAGCTAGTACATTTAGCGTGACGACTCCCAAAAGGTTACTGAAGAAGGCGACAGAGCATGCACGCTTGGGAATGACCCAAGAATGACCAGTTCTTGATTCGTCGATTAATCAATTAATTAATTAATTAATTAATTAATTCCCTCATTCATGTATTTAGAAAGAAAGACATCTCGTAACTTGGACTTGCAGAAGCCGTGCTAAAGTTTACAGTCTTGTTGGCACCTTCCGTCTTTCCTAAGTTAGTGCTATATTGTGTTATACTGTATGACGTGATATATCCTTATATTTCAATGTTTATTCCTCATGTTTTCTCAGACCCTACGTCATACCTCATTATGTTTCTATAATTACGCAGACTTCATGTCATATCTCATTATGTTTCCAGAAACACGCAGGCCTCACGTCATGCCTCATTATGTTTTCAGAAACACGCAGGCCTCACGTCATGACTCATTATGTTTCCAAAATGAGGCAGACCTCACGTCATACTTCATTAGGTTTACATAATTAGGCAGACCTCAAGTGATACCTCATATTGTTTCGATAATTACGCTGACCTGACGTAATACCTCATTATGTTTCCATAATTTCGAAGACGTTAGTCATATCTCATTATTCTTTAATATTTGAGTATTCCTGAGGTCATGCTGCGTGTCTCCATGAGACGATATTCTTCAAACTTTGAACACCATTGGAAACTGCTTTTTAAACAGAATCATGCAAATGAACTGAAATACTTTAAATGCTTTCCTATAAAATTAAATAATTTGATCTTTTTCTCAAAACCTGAAATGATTTGATCTTTTCCTTTAAAACTTGAAACTTTTCGAGCCTTTCCATAAAATAAAATAATTTCACCCTATTCTTTAAAACTGAAATACTTTGATCTTATCCTCAAAAACTGAAATACTTTGATCTCATCCTCAAAAACTGAAATACTTTGATCTCATCCTCAAAAACTGAAATACTTTGATCTCATCCTCAAAAACTGAAATACTTTTATGTTTTCGTATCAATCTTGAAACACGCCGAGCTTACTCTTTATAACTGAAATACTTTGAAAGCTGAAATATTCTGATCATACCACAGCTATATGCTCCTATATTCTCAAATATGCCGGTAGATCCTTACAATGTTAATTAATTTAAAAAATCTAGTCACAGCTTCGTGTGTGCTGTGTAGAACTGAATTTAACTCTTTCAGTTGGGACAGTTTTTTTAAAACTCATACTTCCCTAGGTGTGTATACTTTTACTAATACATATTACGCATCGAATGTGGTAAAATATGAACACTATAAGAAAGAAGCAATAAAGTAACTATTGGAGCCAGAGTCGATGATTGCCTCCCTTTCTTCCTTGCTTAGCGTTGGTCAGCTGTAAACTCCAGCAGAAAGTGCTGGTTGTTATCCATTTATGGACATCCAGTTTTACAGATATGTCTATTTGAATGCAGACTGTTGGTTCCTCGTCTCTCAGATAGATGCAAACCGACAACCGACTTCTAAGGAAACATCCCTAGTTAGTCACTTTTATTTTAATGAAACGCTTCTGACAGAGAAAGAGAAGTGTGCCTATTTCTCTCTCCCCCCCCCCCCCCCTGTTTAAAGTAGTAATGGCGCTTGATAAGGCTACAATGACAAACAATAACATTAACTAACTAACCAACAATCCAAGATGACCATGTTTTGTTTATGTGTGTTGTTTTCGTCTCCAAACAACAACTAGGAACTAAAACACCCCATGTAGTCAGCTTTGGCTTTCTGTTCACGGATTAGCACTGCTAGAAAAACTAAAAATTCAGAAGAATTTTCTGTGGTCATTTTGTTTTAAATATCAGAAATCGGAAACGTTGCAGGGCAAAACAAGAAGAATTTAAAAAAAAAAAAATAGCAACAGAAAAAGGGAAATCACATTAAACTAAAATCTGATGGGGATTACGAGTCTTAACACGCGAAAGACGAATACAGTTTTAAATGTTGCAACTAATATTGTGTTCCACAGTGAGTTTACTGCTGAAATTGTTTAGTAATTGTTCAATGGTACTGGACTGGACTCGATCCAGGACATCGACTGAGAGCCCTGTGAGGCGTGAAAACGAGGTGATATGATGATATTAAGGATGGTGATGATGTTAAGGATGATGATGATGATGTTAAGGATGATGATGATGATGTTAAGGATGAGAATGATGATGTTAAGGATGATGATGTTAAGGATGATGATGATGATGTTAAGGATGATGATGATGCTGTTAAGGATGATGATGATGATGTTAAGGATGAGAATGATGATGTTAAGGATGATGATGATGATGTTAAGGATGATGATGATGTTAAGGATGATGATGATGATGGTAAGGATGATGATGATGATGTTAAGGATGAGGATGATGATGTTAAGGATGGTGATTATGATGAGAAAGAGGATGTAAAAGTTACTGAAGGAAGTCTATATTGCATAACTGGGCAGATAGGACATTTTGAGAAACAGCGCCACTTGTTCAAACAATGCTTAGGAGTGAGCATATGAGGCCGAGTGTGCAACAAGACAAAGCTATATGAATGTAGATACAAGTGCAAGAAAAACTTCAGTGAGTGAGTGAGTGAGGGAGTGAGTGAGTGAGTGAGTGAGTGAGTGAGTGAGTGAGTGAGTGAGTGAGTGAGTGAGTGAGTGATGGAGGGAGTGAGTCAGTGAGTGAGTGATTGAGGGAGTGAGTCGGTGAGTGAGTGAGCGAGTCAGTTAGTCAGTGAGCGAGTGATTGAGGGAGTGAGTCAGTGAGTCAGTGAGTCAGTGAGTCAGTGACTGAGTTAGTGAATGAGTGAGTGAGTGAGTGGGTGGGTTGGTGGGTGGGTAAGTGGGTAAGTGAGTGAGTGAGTGAGTGAGTGAGTGAGTGAGTGAGTGAGTGAGTGAGTGAGTGAGTGAGTGAGTGAGTGAGTGAGTGAGTGAGTGAGTGAGTGAGTGAGTGAGTGAGTGAGTGAGTGTGTGTGTAGATTGATGAGTGAGAGAGTTTGTGAATGATTGAGTGAGTGAGTTGGTGGGTGGGTGGGTAAGTGAGTGAGTAAGTGAGTTGATGGGTGAGTGAGTTAGTGAGTGAGTGAGTAAGTGGGTGGGTGGGTAGATAAGTGAGTGAGTGAGTTTGTGAATAAGAGAGTGACGTTCAACCCTACCAAGACCGCAAAACGAGCGATAAAACCTGATCATATAAAGTGTCACCATTCGAATAAGAAGCACCCAGTCTCAAGTCCCAAAAACCTCGTTGAACAGACACATTGTACTAAGGCCCCCGACAACAGCCGGCATAACAGTGAAGGACCCCTTTCCACGCCTTTCTTGCCTATTGGGTATATAGGGCTAAACCTTTAGATCCGCAAGTGGGCGTCTAGCTGCTAGACGACGGCGGCTCCTAACAGCGGGGCTGGGGCTTTAAGATAACGGAAAGAAAAATCGTTCCATATAAGGGCGGAGTGAAAGAAAGACCTAACGTAGGGAGCCCATTTGTCGTCTAAGCTCTGTCTCTGTGATCCTATGTTGGAATATAAAAACTCTCTCCGAAAAACGGCTAGCCGCCTGTCGGGAGCGCCGCACTAAGCATGATCTCCGCAGCTCCAGCAACGATCCCCTTCGATCTTCATGTAAACTGCACTCATGAACTGAAGGGCGCCGCCGTTAAACCAACCCACGACCTTTAGAGCGCGAGGCAAACGGCTTGACCACTTCGCCACGGAAACCCCAGCATGTCGATAAAAGACAATCAAAACAAATTTTTTCTGAAATCGAATGTGTTGTACCGAAATGTGTAGATATCGCAGCGTAGCTGTTAACCTACAAACAAAGTGTTACCTGTATTTTTAAGGGCAAACGTAAACAATGTTACTACAAGGAAGTCTAGATGCTTATCTGTCGGCCACGTGTGTTTGCCAGTATCGATCAGGATTCCCTATGGTTGGTCTTTGCTTCCAGAGAATGCGAACCGAGAAATATCATAGGCAAAAACCATTGTACCTGTTGTTTTCTAATGAAATCCAGAGGTGCCCCTACCCCCATTCTTCTTTGGATTTCATCTTTTCTCAACAACAATGAATCTGGTGGAGAAAAAAAATCCATCATCAGCAATTGCGTGCCATATTCTAAATTCCGGGCACACTAAAAAAAAATTATCCATTTTAAATTATTTACGGTTCGGCCAGCTGTAGATTACTTAGATTCGTGGAAGCGTCAGCTATCAGCCAGTTTTAACCAGAATTATGCCGATAAAAGGACATGCTCTTCCCCTTGCGGTTACCCCGGTAAAACAGATAGTTTGTCAATGAGGTCGATTTTGTTTTTCAGTTTTAAAAATTCATTTATTTGCTTCGTGTTAATCAATTGTTACTGTAGTATGCACCTAACGTTGATACAACGAAATATGCCATGCAATACATTGCGCAATCTAATGTTTATTATGTCTGCTTTGTTGAAATTCACAACGGTAAAACATTGCTTTGAATTCCTCATTTTGTTCTTTATTGTTATAGTGAAAGCTCTTTGTAGGGATCTAATTTCAGTTGTAATTTGTCTTGTCTCTTGTCATTGTCCATGTTTGGCATTGATAACACAAGGTTGGCAAGAAGACTGGGTCATAGAGAGCTCTGT